CAGATAATAAACATATATTTGTGATCTCAGTTTCAAGAGGAATTCGATTATATTAGGTTGGTCCGAAAGTTCGTTCGCACCGTTTTCAAAAAATCATAACTTCCTTCCCTCACAATGATTTTGCACTATTCAAATTTTATTAGAAAGCGCAAAGCATGTAGTTTCCAAAAGTCCCATGGCGAAATTCCAGCATGTTCAGATTGCAGAGATAAAAATGAAAGAACGGAAACATCCGAAATTCGGAATTTTTGAGAAACAATTCCAAAAATTTAGAAACTGCGCGATAAAATCCAGAAAAGCCATTATTCTAATTTTTCTTATATTTGATTACTAACTGGGTTAAGTTTGTGCTGATCGAGCTCTTTTTTCAAAAGTTATGATTTTTTGAAAAAAATTCTAAAAAATCACTTTCCTAAGAATTCCTAAGAAATTGATTTTTCGGCATTTTTTTTTCAAAAAATCATAACCTCTGAAAAAAGAGCTCGATCAGCACAAACTTAACTCAGTTAGTAATCAAATATAAGAAAAATTAGAATAATGGCTTTTCTGGATTTTATCGCGCAGTTTCTAAATTTTTGGAATTGTTTCTCAAAAATTCCGAATTTCGGATGTTTCCGTTCTTTCATTTTTATCTCTGCAATCTGAACATGCTGGAATTTCGCCATGGGACTTTTGGAAACTACATGCTTTGCGCTTTCTAATAAAATTTGAATTGCGCAAAATCATTGTGAGGGAAGGAGGTTATGGTTTTTTGAAAATGGTGCGAACGAACTTTTGGACCAACCTAATATATAGATTGTTGGGATTGGCTGGGTTAAGTTCTGAGCATTCCCTACTTAGTTGACAAGCAAATTCTGCAAAGGCAACAAGTTTTTTTTAAAAATGACAAAATAGTATTGGTTTTCCATTTGCAAACTACGTAAAATAGAAGTACTAACTACAGGTGAAACACGACTGCATATTGACATTTTGTGAATTTTGTCATAGAGGTTTGCTTTTCTCAAAAAATAGAAGCTAACTTGCGGGACAAGTAAGGAACATATTACTTAGAATTGTATACTGCTAAAAACATGCAATTTCCTTTTGAACCAACCACTTGAGAATCTTTTGGGTGCGTTTTTACCAATCTAGTATTACTTGCTCAGTAAATTGACTTTGCTCTGCTTGTTAGGAAGATTTCCTAACTTAGTTATTAAATAGGTTATGAAATAAGCAAATGATTGAGTTGTCATTCATCACTTTTTTGAATCCTTGATTTTTTGCTTCAATATCAAGCGTGACGTTTGAAGACATTTGTATCTATAGGTCTCTCTGTAGGTAGAGATGTTCTTTGCAGTAGTTCGTGTCTCTTGGTGCTTAATTAACATGACGATACTTTTTGTTCCAAATCGCATTAATAAAAAATTGAAAAGGGGGAAACACATTAAATTTGACAAAATCGGGGTCTTGTTAAAAAGAATTATTTGAATAGCTGGACAATTATATCACGAATCACATCACAGTTTTGCATTAAAATTTTATCCTGCTAAAAAGTATGCACGTATAGGGAGAGGCAAAGATATAGTGCGTTGTCCAAGATAAGATTGTCTTAGGCCCAGCGAGATGAGATTAGGATGACCTACATTCAAACATGATTCCCAGTAACAGTTAGCTGACACGATGTGATTCAGAAAATTTTCATTCACCAAACCGTAGATAAAAGATTTACTGGTTTGTGGAGCTGGCAAAAGACAACTTTACCTGAGGAAGAGAGTTTAGCCTTATCGCAGGCAGTCATCTTTTTCTGACTGCACTCCAGCCGTTGATTGCGACATTGTAGAATCACCAAATCGTCTAAAAAATTAGGTCGCTCCAAAAGGTCTTTATTCAAAGTTCCAGATGCGTACAAGTACAGAAATAATTCTTGGAAAAAGTAAATTAAGGAAAACTGGATGGTTGGCTCCATTTTGAGCAAGGAATTTTTTGGTAAAAAGATGGTGCAGAAAAGTGGGATAGCCACATTCTTCCATAAAGTTTCAAAGTCACGATCCAGAATATGATATTAATATAATACTAAGACTGGGCGTAAAATGCTTGATACCGACAAACAAGATTCTTATATTTCCAACCGCTTGTTTGGCCATGAAATTGTCAAATCGCGATTCAAAATAAGTTAGTCATATAGAATTGCAATTGCTCCTACAAACTTATAGAACATATCAATCAACAAATACAAGGTGTCCGTAAAAAATGTGCCTACTGTTTGATTGTGAATAACTCTCTTCTAACGAAGTCTTTCGAGAAGCTTTAGGCACCATTTTGTAGAGCGAGGTTCAACTTAGATTTGCAGTATAGAGCGAATCAACGAGCTCTTTTTATTACTGTAGGATTACGGTAGGAACTTTCAGCACATGGAACCATCGTGAAATATGCCGCCTGACAAAATTTTTTTCAAAAAATCTGAAAAATCGTGTACTAGGGTTTTCGCGCACGCTGATTCCACTACACAACTTTTTACGGGTGTTTTCCCACATTTCTGAAAAATGCTGGAAATTCAATTATTACGGTTCACCTGGGGTAACTTAGGAAAGAGGCACCACAGTAAAGTGGAAATTTCATATTCGAAAAGAGCGGCTTCCATTACCATAGTGTAAGAATTTCCGGCTTGTTTGGTTATGTTCCGAGGCAGATTATGGCCTCCAAAGACCTAAAATCCTTGTCGAAGTTCCTACCGTAATCCTACAGTAATAAAAAGAGCTCGGTGATTCGCTCTATACTGCAAATCTAAGTTGAACCTCGCTTTACAAAATGGTGCCTAAAGCTTCTCGAAAGACTTCGTTAGAAGAGAGTTATTCACAATCAAACAGTAGGCACATTTTTTACGGACACCCTGTATATGATGATAAAGGTTTATCATTACCTTCTACAAAAAGTCCCAGTTGAACGGCAATTGCTCAAATTTTTGCCTACTACAATGTTACATATAAAAACAAAATTATCTGCTAGCCAGGCTGACATTTTACTACATCGAAAATCATAGGATTTTGCGGTCTGACATTACAATATCTACAGCGCGAGTAAAGACTTGTAACACTTCGACTAAAGTACTCGGATCAAATGTTTGGTTGGAATAAAATTGAGCCTAATTTCAGTAAATTGACACTTGCGTGAGCTTGCTCGCCACGGGGGTTTTTTGCGTGGTGCGCGGGCTCATATGTGTCCCCAATTGAGGCATGAAACTTTATATATAACAGAAAACAGCAATATTACGCGAAACTACTAGTTTCAACTATAGTTACAAAAACGCACGATAAGCCCACATACAGTATACCGTTGATGACATGAAGTTTTGCGATGTAACCGCGATGTTGCGTCAAAAACGCTGCATCTACAAACCTTTTTGGAATCCAATAATTATCAAAAATGTGATATACTCGCAATCAACTCAGTTTCATCCGAAGTTGCATTTAGCTCTCAGATCGTACTTCTCCAATTGACCGAAGTCAGTAAAAGCTCATGGTCTCAAAATTACTGTTCCTCATAGGGCTGCCTTTGATCTTCGCCAGACCGTTAAGAATGCTTCAGTTTGGTACACCTTCATGGCTACCAACACTTATCTACCTTAGTAAAAGGAACTGCTAATTTTGTTTCAATTCTTGTTTCTCCTTCTTACTTAAGCACCTATCTTCTTACACGTGTTATTCTGAATTAATGCGCGTGATTTCTGTCTCATCAGGAGTGACGGGTGCTCGTGCGGCTCAAACCCCGAGACCGCCTTGCTCCGCGCCTTGTTCATGAGCGTGTTTTCTGATCTTTTCCCAGACCTGAGAAAAAGCTTGCGAAAGCAAAGCAGAGCCCAGGCGAGCCGGCCGCGCGTCACTAAAGCCGCACGAGCTTTTGTTTTTGATAATGCAGAGTGATGCGAAAAAATTGTTACATGAATTGTACGGCTCTATCAATTTCTCAAACTTTGTCGTATAGAGATTTCTTTTAGAGAAATTTCGCCGAAAAATTCTATGTGACGAAAGATAAATGAATGATTTCAGTAATTGTAACTGTATTCTTTATTCTACGACCTTGATTCTTCTACTAGGCTGTTGCATAAGTTCTGTCCGATTTGAATTTTTGAGTTTAAAATGTCATAACTTCTTTCAGAGTCAACTTTTTTCCAAGGTCTTAGTTTCTATGTGTTGAGCAGTCCCTTGGCTAAAAAATGCATATTGAGATCTGCGCAAATCTTTGTTAAGGAAGAACCAAGAATGCAAAAACTTCGCAGCGTTTTTCTTCGAATCTGTCTTTTTTGACATGGTAACGCTCCCTTATGAAAATTGATAGGCATCTTTTCTAATAATGGATGGATAGAGAAATTTTCGTAGATTATTATGCAACATAAAAGAGCCCATAGGGTTTGCGCTGCCGGGAGATTTTCTTGACTGAACAAAAAATTAGCCACTTTTTGACCTCGCTTCAGCACATGTGTGCATGCCTATTTATGAACTACGAACGTTTTACAACTGACGTGAGCGCCGAAAAGGAATTGGTGGATGGGCCCTGTTAGCTCTTGCTTTGCCCTAGCACCTCCAACTTTGAGCTTGTCGATTACTTCTATTCGCAGAAAGTTATTGCTTGTAAAACATCTATACCAAAGATTTATGTTCGAGGATAAATTTCACTAGCAAGACGTATTCTTCATGGGACCGAACTTCTGTATACTAGCATTCCATACCCTTATTCCGAAGCCAATGAAAGAAGCTGACTTGAAGGGCGCATTGTGGAGATATCCTCGCAAGGACATATTTCTAGGGATAGAACGTACCTCGGCCACTTAGAGATTTTAGGCCTGTGATCTCCGTACACTAAGAATTTTATTGAATTCTGGTATGCTTTAGAAAGCGCAAGGAAAGCACTTTTCAATGATACCAACCGTATCGAATTAAAGATGAAATTCTCTTAGAACAGCTGCTTCAAACATGAGGCAAAAAAATCGGACAGAACTTATGCAACAGCCTAGTAAAATCTGCCTTTGAATGCTTGAACCAAATCAGAGAAATGAGCAGTTCATTAAAGCATAGAATAACACCAAAAACAATCCTGTTGCCATTCTTCACGGTGCGCAGAGGTATAGTGCGGCGTTACACTTGGTATCAGGTGGGCATGCAGTGCAGAAATCTCCTGGAGCATAAACCGTTTCGCCGACAACATTTCCCCTGAAGAAAAAAAAATTTGATCTTGAACAATAAATAATGGTGTAGTCTACTTAGGAGAGTAACGGCAAACAGTGGTGTAAAAGGGCGAACAATGTACGACTGAGCAGCCCAAGTACTGCGTTGCAGCCCATGCCATCTAAAAAGCGTTTCATTCAAAGATGGATGATTACTTTGAGAGTAGGTCTACCTGTGTGAACGTAATTATTGCAGTTCCAACATGGGTGTCCCGAAATTTAGCGGCTGACCCAAAACTAGGGTAGACTTTGACTACCTTCCACCATTGATTTACAGCCTAAATGTACAATCAAGCCTTATGCCTGATCAAAAAATTTTGTTTTTAACAACCTTGCTTGCTGCCTCTTCAAACGACGTAACTCCTGTCTCTGTCATTTGATAAAAATTTTCACATTGCTCAACTCTAGTATCTTCTGTTGAACCAATCTTAGGACACTGGCTAGCAAATTTGATAGCCGAAAACTCCAGCTCACAGTCATACCTCTACAATTGTACGGAAAGCATAACGGGATTGCATCTCACCAATTTACGCATATTTGCTGCCGCTGGTAAGTACGCACCAGTGTTTTTAGTTACTTTTCCAAGTGCAAGTAAGCTCCTGAAAAGTTTTTCATGATAAAATTGCACTGATATAGGTCTGAAATTTACCTGCGGCTATTGTGCACATCCAGAATTCTCAGTCTCAGTTTATCTGTCATGTAATAGTTCTCGGGGCAGATGGTGTCTTTTGAAAGGATACATGCCATAATTTGACAAAGTTTTTCAAAATTCTCTATTGATATTCCCTTTCTTGTTACACAGGAGGACCAAAGAAATGCCCTGACGATTTGATCTTAATTACTCTTACAACTCATCGTGGCCACTCTCAAAGTACCATTCTGCAGTGCTGGCTTGGACATAGATTCACATTATGAAGCACATCAAAATTCGCTTTGATACTGTAAGACTATGGTAGAAACTTGCGATATGGAAGCCACTGTATTGGCCTTGAGGAGAAATTTCCCAAAAGAATCTGGAATTTTTAACAGAGCTTTCACGCATGCTTATTTTACTTTACGACATTTTACGAGTATTCAAAGCTTTTGAATGGTGTGATCAAATTGTGGGAGAAGATGGAAAAAAGATTAGCAATGTATTTGCATGACTTACAAATGAAGCATTGTGGTGACTGCGAATTTACTGAAATTTGCGATTCGATTAGCAATGCAAGAGTTTTTCGGTTTTTGGTAGGCAAAATATACTCCTTAATGACTCAAAAAACCCTCTTTAAAAATCTTCTCGTAACTCCACAGTAACGATAGGGTAATCCCTTTTATAATTTGTATTTAAGTGATAAGTCTTTAGAATATACCCCAGTAAAGGCAGAAGACGATAAAGCTAGGAAGTTATCAATGATCAAACAGTAGGGTGGTTTTTTTGGGACGTCCTGTAGACGCAGCATATGAAAGAGCTTGTATAAGAAAATCCCGCAAGAGAACCAACGTTAGTGCAAGCTCGCTAGGGCTGCACTCATTGCACCTCACGCTTTCAATTTATAAGGTGAATGAGGTGCGGTCATTCCCTCTCAATTTGAGAAAACTAGGTGACATCTTTATTGATTGATTTTTCGTTAAATTTCTACTATTACTCACAACGCTAACTACCCAAGGTAGTATGAAGTTTTATCGATTGTAGCTGTCAATTATTAATAAAAGATTCAATCGGATTATCATACAATTCTTTCTTTTGCCGCACCTTCTCATTTTTTCATCGTTAGCTTACCTAGAGGACATTAGAGAGCGCTTTTGATGAAAGATTACTCAATCGAAGTAGCCATCAAAAGTGCCTCCAGCATTTACAAAGAGTTGTTTTGGAACAAATAACTCCTTCTTTGTGGAGCTGGAAAGCGGTCTCTTTCACTCTTAGTGTAACGCTTTTGATCCGAAAGGAATTAGAATTGCCGTTAAACAACACAAAACTGCCATTACCATTTGTATTATTTAGCACTAAGTGTCAGTTTCTTACAGATGACCCGAAAAAGCTTGATTTTTTGTAGCCGTCAAAGATTTTGCATTCTTCTCTTAAGAAATTCTCAGATTCTTTTTCGAGGCAAAATGATGCTCATAAACTGAATGTTGATCATTTTTGTGGATTATCGAAATTTTATAGCACCTAATAGCACTTTCAGCCTCATTTCAAAAATAAAAATGAAAGACTCTGTACGATAAAAAAGCAAAATTGTTTTACGGCTTCAAAGGAATCTTCTGTTGCGGAAAACTGTTACATTCCTCACTAGACCACTGTGATATGTACTTCCATGCGTTTTCTAAATATGGCAATTTCCAGCTCCAAAAAATAAGTCATGACTTGTTGTGAACAACGTTACCCAGAGTTGAAGGCACATTCGAGGCCAACCATCCCGCCTCCCGTATATATATCACAGTACAATTTGCCACTTCAACTCTTCCACTTTTTGCAAAATGCCTTAAAAAACAGCAGTTAAGTTTTGCCTCAAACACGATCAATTTATCAAAATAAAGTGTAGCCTTCAGAAACGACAGGTACCGGGACGGATAGATAAAGTATGATCGGCTCCCACATTCGAGTATAGGGGTTGCGGGCTTCTTTAACATGAATAAATTTGCTGAACCTTTGTGCTACAGTGTTGTTTTTCGCATTCTTTCACGTCAGAAACCGTCACGCTTCAAGCGGGTACGTCCCCACTCCTACACGAATCTGGCAGCCGAAAATATTTATATGCTGGTATAGCTTAGTTAGCACAAAAATTTACGTCTTTCAATTTGTTTCTATGGCATTATAGAATACAACATGGACAGTATATCTCTATAATATATTAGACAAATTGGGCTCAAAATGGATCGATTCAAAGCCAAAGTACCTAACTCCTTTTCTACTTCAAATCTTTCATGATTTTTCAAAGGTATTATGCTACTAGGACGGAGGTGATTCTTATTACGGAAGCGATTATGAATAAAGGCCATCTATCTGTCTACTCTTCATTTCTAAGACAAGTCATCTGAACACTTACCGTAAGTGTGGTACTCACCTGTTGTAGAGCTAGGTAACACAGCATTTGGCGAAGGCTGTATAGCCGGGGTTGTAGTAGTGGTTGTAGTAGGTGTTGTGGTTGTTGTGGTTATTGTGGTAGTGGTTTCGCATAACTTAGTATCAGGGTTGCACCAGGAGTCAGTTAAGCAGACACAATCAGCTTCATCTTGTTTTATTTCGTATATGTCATAGTCAGGAGATTCCAGTCTAAAAACATATCGTCAAAGCTCGTCCTGGTCTCTCAATTACTGAGTAAATTACACACGATTTCGTCTACTTTCTTTCACATCAGTAGACCAGAGCCAATTATTTGAATAGGTGGCTAAAGATAGGCTAGATCATGGAGCCTAATGAAAAATGTCAAAGACTATTGCTAGCTTAGTAGAATAGAGAAATTTGCTGATGTGAAGAAGTTACAAGAACTGAGGAGATTCAAGGAATAGGTTCTCGCTCATCCAATAAACAGTGACGAAAAATAAGCACATAAAAGGATATGTATGCAGTGACATTCTTGTATACGTAGCTTGTTTTCTGAACTTACGTATACAAGAAGTTTCTGAAGTATCAAGAAAATATGACTTACCTGTGGTCCGTTAGACATAGCACTGTGGCGTCGTAGTCGTAGAAGGCGGCGTCCTCGCCTTTAACGTCGCACGTTTTGACTGCGCATCCCAATTTCGTAGCTGCCGCTGCTATCAACTTTAATGAAAGTACTTTTACAACATTCATAGTTAAATATCTGTACATATGCGAAGAAAAGCTTTTTTTTTGCTTTGACATGACGTCACTAATTATGGCATCCACCGTTTAAAATCTACTTTGAGATCATTTGCTTTTGATATTACAGCGTCGTTTCCTTATGAATTGAATTCTGATATTCGGAAAAAACAGTGATTTTAAATAATCATTCAATCTCCAATCGTCACTGAAAAGGCAGCCAAGTCTCCTCAAAGCGTTTGCAGCGCAGTACGATGTCTAATGGAAAACAGTGAAGCAGGAGGGAGGCGAGGATTTGGGTAAGAAAAGAGAAAGTAAAAAGGAGAAATAATGTTTGTAGCCATAATGCGAAAATGTAATCCATTTGATATCCTAAATGAAGTGTGTGAATCAGAACAAGTAACTCACTGTCGCTCGAAATTGATCTAAATGTGTCACGAAGCCCGAGTAAAATTAGATAACTGAATTGTTCAGAAGCAAGAGTGTTGAAGAGCTTACGTTGGCGAATGATGGATCATGAAAAGTTGATGGTTCATAAGGTGCACCAGAGAATTTGACCAAAGTTTTGCTGGAGTCGCTGGCAATGTTTTCCTTATACATGAGCATCGTATTAACCATGTTCGTGATTGGTAAAAGACCCTTTTCGCCAATTTCGTGCGTATACCTAGAGTTGAATTTATTATTGTCCTTGCCATCTTTTTTTCTAGTTTGTAATACAGAAATACATTAGCTTGAACTGTCATTCGATACCTTAGTAGAAAGCAGATAATGTTAAGCAATAAAAAACTTACGATAAGTGACTCCAGCCATAGCCGCTAATTGTTTGTTTGATAACTGGTCGCATTTGAGGTGGGCATTCAGCAATCAACTTTGCAGCCTCCGAGTCGAGTTCGCAATCCCAGACCTATCTCAAATGTCAGTTATCTACATTGCAATAGAAAAAAAAAACGCTTGTTTCTGTCACTACTATTCAGGATACTTCAGGATCCGTTTTCTGTCAATATCAAACTTTGCACAGACTCTCAAGTGCTTTTTTGTCAACTGACCAATTTATTCATGTTCTTAGCGGGAGGGAGTGTAGTGCCTTTGTCTTCATCTAACAGCTCTCCCTTTGCCAAAGTTGCACGGACTTCATTAATGCTATCCTCTAAATCTTGAGCTTCTTGAATTGCGCATCACAGATTCCTTCTGGAAGTGATCCATCAGAAGTCACGAGGAAGAAGAGAGAACTTAGAACTAAGCTTCGAAGAGACATACCCACACTGGACGCAGCCAACATCGAAATTATCTGAAGGAAACTTTAATGAGTAGATTTTAAGGATATGCAATTACATGTACCACAATCACCGCCGATCGCGTCATCGTGAATATGATGCTCCTACCAATTACGGCTGCCTTTTATGCGCGCGATGGATTGTCGTATATTCAACGAATATCAGATAAATTGGTATTATCTAAACCAGTTAGAAAGATTGGATTAATCATGAAATTGTTCCCACCGATGCAAGCGAGCAAGTAAATTCTCATCGAAATTTGATCGAGAAAAGGAGGTCAGATTCAACTTTTTTCTCAAACGAAAGTATGACATAAACTCACTCGAAGTGATCCTTGACAGTTTGATTTTGCAATTCTATTCGAACTCTGTTTCAGTACAATACTTTAAGGTCTACTGCTTAGGCATGCTCTTGATAATGGGATGTTTTAGAAGTTTTATCATTTTTGTACCTCTTTTTACACTGCTAATTTTAGAGAATTTAAGTGTTTAATGTTAGTGTTTAATCTAAGTGTACAATGACTACATGTCCAAAAGTCCTGTTTCTCCAGTTTTTCAAGCATACTATCGTTTTCACAGGGCTTTGTTTCTGTGGTTTCGAAAGGACGGCAAGTCAAATGTGTAAACATTCGTTTTTGCTCTAATGCCTAACCTATAACCAAAAATTTTTTTCTAGACTGCATGCAATGTTTGCTGAGCTCTTGTGCTAGAAAACGTCCTGTTTTGAAGGTACAATCTTTTTTTAGCACTAACATGGCCTGTCGCTGTGGTCCTTTTAAGTCACCTAAAGTTGCAAGAAGAACACAGCAGTTGCGATCCGCTGCTGCTATGCACTAATTTCAGACAATCGCTCCTAATCTCTGGGAATTCAAAATTGTTGAGGTTTCGCGGGAAACTGTAAACCACTGGAAAGGCGGGGGTGTGGCGGTCCTGAGGTGAAGTCACAATAGTTGAGGCTGTAGTTTTGCCGAGTTGAAAAAAAAAGTGTTCAGAGGAGCTTCCGGAAAACTGCTGAACTTTGGAAAATGTAAGTGCAACCTCTGGAAAAATACACAAGTGAAAGGCTCAGGAATTCTTAGTGAAAAAACACTTTTTGCGATGTACCTCTGTTTTACAGAAAATTTTTACTCTTTTGGCAAAAAATCCATCTTTGGGAGCATTGCTTTGACTTTTGCCCCTAATAAAGAGCACTGAGCGAATCTGGCCCTCTCAGGAGAAAAACCTGGCGGGCTTTCATCAAAGAGACATTCCTAGAAACATTTGTCGCACTAAAACTTACAATTAATCTGTCAAATCCACTGTTGGGAGTCTCACCAAAATGCCTGTGCTTTGGGGGAAATACTGCACATCGGTAAAATTCCATTTTGTAACAGTAAACTAACCTTACTTTTGCGCCTAGAAAGTAAAGCAATGAACGGGTGGACTCGCTGCTAATTCAAATATACGTAGTGAAGGCCTTGAGATTTTCCACATATGTGTGCTGCTATGAAAAAAAGCAATGTGCAAACCATGATCTCACTATTTCGTGGCAGAGGGCCTATCCCTGGGGACCGGTATGGTCGCCCAATTTGATTCCGCTACATCAAAGATAATATCTTGTTGATCTCTGGTGGAGGAAACAACAGTGCCTTGGGAGTGTTCATTTCGGGTATAGATAGTTTGCGTAAGGCGATGTATTTGCCCCAACCAGATCTATTCATCCGTTACTTGGAGTTTATCGATGGTATAAGAGTTTTGGAAATTGCAAAACTTGACCATGGCAGAAAGCCGTATTCTTTTGTCATTTTTTAGGAGCTCGTCGGTTAGACCGGCACGAGGAAATAATGATGGAAGATAAAATTCTGCACCGAACACAGACAAGTTCTTTTCACGAAACAAAGAATTTCTTGCAAAAACATGCTTCTGCTGAAAGCCCCTTAAGCTTTGTGAGACTTCTACCGATAGTGCTGCTGAGATCAAGGCTTGCTCACTGCTTTTTTAAGAGGCCGAAGACAGGTTTTATACAGTACACGTTCATGAAATTGGATTTTTTGCCTGAATTAGTGAGAACCGTTTGAAAAACGAGGCTATTCCTTGCAAAAATGTTCTTCTACTCAAAAGCCCTCGAATGTTTTTATATCGGGAGACTACGAGATACGGCTCGTGTATCGTCGTTTATAAGAAAGACCGAACGGTGCGCAAAATAAAAAAGTTAGGCGGAATGATTGGCAACTGTATGTTTCATATCAAGGAAAATGTATGTGTATCCACCAGTGGCGGTCACAGGATTCCGTGCGGTGGGAGAGAGGGGAGGAGAGAGGGTCCGCCACTGGTATCTATCAATTTCATGACATATAGTTATTGCTATATCAACTCAAAGTCGAATAAATTTGTTTGGACGATCCATAGTTGGCCAAAAAGAGAGCGGAAAACACCAATTTGGCAGTTTTAGTGCGCTGCAGAGTGATCAAAAATAGAAATGCGAAAAGCTGAAATGAATTTTATTGCCTGTGAAAGTGCAAAGTTTTTGCTGAATGACAAGTGAATATTTTCAAAAAAATACAAACGAATCAGATTCGTTGTTTTCATTTTCACTACTTGCTCGAAATTCGTAATCTTTCCGAAGATGTTCGATGCACATGCTTTTTTAGAGTTCTTAATAGAAGTTTATGAAAATACTTTTCTGCTTTGGTGTTGCAAATTTCAGATTTTTGGTAACGCAACATTATGAGGTCAAAATGCAAATACTTCTATCTTTGACGAAAGGGCATAAAAGAAAGCCGTTGAGGAGATTATTTGAACTATAATCTTCTTTTACCAATCGATTTTTTTAGCTAAAAAAATCAAATAGATGGATAGCGGGAATGATTTCGTGCCTTTTTTTGAAAAGAGACCCTTAGTTTTTCGTCCTGTGAGGCCAAAAGCGCCAGTTCTTCTGTTTAGAAGCGGAAATAGGGTTTTTTTTAGAACACATGCTTTTAAAGGTAATTTCGCCACTGTAAGTGGAGATTTTTCATAAAACGAAGGTATTTCTCCCAAAAATTTCTTTTTGCTGAAAGCATTTACGCGAGCTTCAATCGCTCACTGCTTTTGTGTACAGAAGTAAGGTTTCTCGGAGCCTATGCTCCCAAAGTTGGATTTTTCCTTAATAGAGGATATCTTTATAAAACGAAGTTTTTTTGCCGAAATATCTTCCACTGAAAGTATTTTTCCTCCTCGAGATCAAGGCTCGCTTACTGTTATTTTCTTGGAGGTAAAAGGGTTCATTTGAAGTTTGGTGGAATAAAGGCATTCTTCGCGGAAACGTTTTTCTGCTAAGCCACTAAGGTGTTTATTCCGCGAGGAGGCTTGCTCATTGCTTTTTGGCAGCAAAAGTAGGTTTTTCGGAGCACTTGTTCATAAAGATGGACTTCTCGCCAGATATAAGTGGAGAGATTTACTGAAACGAAGGTATTTTTTGACAAAATATATTTCTGCTGAGAGCATTTCCCTTTTGCAAGACCAGAGCTCCTGCCTTTTTAGGGGGAGGAGCAGGGTTTTTGAAAATTTTATGAAACGAAGATATTCTTTGCGAGAATGTCTTTTTACAATAAGTTCCTGAGGTGTTATGTGTAACATTCCTCCTTAATTCTCTCAAGGCACATGCTTTCAAAGCAGGGCTATGGTGTGGGGCAAGCTGCATATCGTTTCGGGGTAAAAATCAAGGGGGATCTGTTTACGGAAACCCCAGCTCCCTCCCTCCCTCTCCTCCTCCTCGACAATCACTTTCTCCCACTTAAACCCGCACCAAAATAAACGACCTTGTTTGCAGCGAAGAGAAACTGAAATGACAACAAAATTGGTTTTTAGATGGGCGATAGGGAGTTAGGACTATGTACAAAGAACTAAGAGAAAATTATATGAAATAAAGGCTTTTGGCAGACTTCTTTAGAAGTGAGATGGCTTTACAACCATCTGAGCTTCCTGAGGTGGTTGTGAAAAAAATCATAAGTTTCCTTTTCTTCACATGCTTTTTTCCACTTATTCAACATAACTTCATTCCACATTAAAAACTCTAAAGCTGAGTTTTCTAATCTTCCCAAGCCCCTTCTGCTCGCCTAGTTACAGCTATCCAATATTTGTAAGACGGCAGCAAGCCTGTTCCAAGCGCGCAATAGTGCGTGTTGGACATAGCACACCGCTAATTCGAAAAATACGAACTTCTTTAGTTTTTTTTCGTTTGTTCAATGTTATTTTTGAGCTTTATTCCATTATTTGTTGTTATTCGTGTTTGACCCATTCATGATAGCGTCATAGGTTATATCCAGGGTCAAGCAAGGGGTGTGGCACACGATCGCTGGTTACGACCCCCCCCTGATTGCTGTCTTAATAAGACCCCCCCCCGTGAACTATACACTTAAGATAGCATTACTTGAAGGCCCTGTCAAATATAATGGGCAACATATCCATAATTAGCATGTTAAATAACCCTTGTAGACAAAGTGCGAATTCCGAAGATTCAAGATACTAGACTACCTAAGTGAAATGGTCAAATTCCAACATGGTTAACTTTGTTTCAAAGGTGAATTCCGTATTTGCACTAAAGACAAAGCACTACTCCTTCTTTGTCCACCTCAGGGAATCCCGCTTCAGAAGACCTCCAAACTGTAGAATTAGAAGCCAACCAAAATCTCGTTTTTCCCATTTTTCGCTTTTGATCGCTGTGCTTTCACCAAATATTATTTATTTAGAGCTAAGAAGACGAATTAGGCTCAATACAGTCATATGGAATCTACAAGGTTTAGACTATCGATTCATATAAATACTGTCCGCTAAAAATGTTTTTTTGATATAGTTAATGAGGTGCGGAACTTTTTGTAAAAAGACGTTCTCGCAAAGAATACCTTCGTTTCATGAAACTTTCAAAAAACCTTGGTTCTCCCTCCAAAAAAAAGCAACGAGAGAGCTCTGGTCTTGCAAGAGGAAAATGCTCTCAGCAGAAACATATTTTGTCAAAAAATACCTTCGTTTTAGTAAGTATCTCCACTTATATCTGGCGAGAAGTCCATCTTTATGAACAAGTGTTCCGGACCTCATACGCTTCAAAAGTGTTTTTCAATTTGATGATTGTTGTTATATTTGGATCAAGACTCAAAATTGCTATAGGGCAAAGGAAGCTGCGCAAGATGGCTCTCAACATTCGCAGAAAGTTTGAGTAACATGAATTTGATTCCAAAACTGAATATTGAGACTTATCAGAAATTGTTTTTACGTCTGAAAAAAATCTAACAAGTCCAGCTTGCTCAAGCATCATTCTCCAAATCAAAATTCATGTATACAGCTGCGTTTTTTTTTGGCTTAGTAATTGAGAAACGAAATTTCAAGATAAAAATGTGTTGTTCTCAGGTCTTTCATGTTTGAATATATTATTTTCTCGATTTGTGGAAACGAAAAGAATATACTCACTAATATATGATTGCCGATGTAGGGAGTATAAGGAGCAAGTGAGAGATCCATGAGATTTCCGAACAAAAGCAAAACTTTCTATAATACCATTTTTGATAGCTCAAATTTCATGTGAGTCAAATTGGTGCGAGTGTTTGAGAGACGTGTAGAGCTCGCTTTGCTCTAGCGCATGGTAACTTGAATCTTATTGAAAAATAATCGAATTTAGCTAATTTTCGTTGATTTAAAAACTCATAAGATCCAACACAACTGTTTGAATCCACTCTCCCTTCGTGTAGCATGACTGCAGCTCCTCTATTTTCCTTACAAAACGACGGTATGTGCACCAATTTTTGAATTTTGTCAAAAGAACGCCTGATGCGATAGATACCGCATCCAATTAAGGTTTGGAATTGCTGTCTATGCGAAAAATTCTGATGTTAATCTTACTTCGAAAAAAAACGTATCCCTAGAAAAATTTCTTCTCTTGCTTTCGGGAAAAAGAATTATTAGTAAACCACACTTTTTAGTGTCAGTGCGACCCACTCAGTTGATTCTGAACAATAAAGCGGTAACGGTGAATATAAGAAAGTTTCTTGGATTTGTGATCGTTCCAGATATTACTGGTTTCGTTGTTGTTCGCTGCTGTCGCCAATGTTGTTGTCGCTCTCGTTTTTGTAGTAGTAGTAGTAGTTGTTGTTGTTGTTGTTGTTGGAGTTGTAAATTGTTAACGGAGTTTACGGTAGCATAAACTTTCTGCAGCTTTACAAACTGTATCTGCCGGACAGCTGTCACAATTTCCATTTCCCTGCCCATAAATGTCCTACACTACTTCCGTAATTGGGTATTTAGAATAGATGCTCGAAGGGAAAGATTCGTAGAAACATGCATGTAAATAAGCATAAAGTTTGACCTCAAAACTCAATTCTAGAGAAATAAATCAAATGTTTTCTGTCTTAGTGCACTTCATATGTATCAAAAAAAGTGATTCTGAGTATGCGTAGCCAAACAAGGGAAGATTAACCAATACTTTTCCTTTATTTCGAACAACTTTCTGAACAGACAAACAATACTCACGAAAAATATATCTGACTTTTTCCACGTGCTGGATTCGTCTTGTTAACGGGGTAAGAACTGATAAAAGTCGATGTTTTGGCTCCAAAATTGCAACTACAAGTCTGAGACAATTTCGTTAAACCAATAGTAAAAATCACAGGAAAAATGCAAAATATTGACTTCATTTTCGCTATCTAGTTCCTATAAAAACTTTACCTTTGAATTATGTGATTGCTTGCTTGCTCTCATGAGAATGAGTCACAACTCATGCGCAACGAAGAGCATATGATTAAAAATAATCTAGGTTTTACTGATGGACTGTTTAAACAGAGCGTAGAAACCTTTTAACTCGACATGTAATCCAGTCGTTGGCGCTTTACTCTCATTGTGCCATCTTAACTCTTATTTATTTCTTTTTTTTCTACGCCTATTCTCCTACAGAATTACCAGACAATTTGAAAACTGGTGAAATAAAGTGCTATTGCAAAACAAGATTAGCTGTCCCATTGAAGTATAGGTTAACACCAAAAACAATCCTATTGCCTTTCTTCATGGGGCGCAAAGGTAGAGTGTAGCATTACATTTGGTATCAGGTGGACATGCAGTGCAGAAATCTCCTGGAGCATAGACTGTTTGTCCAACAACATTTCCCCTGAAAGAAAATATATTGATCCTTGGGTGTTTGATAACAATGTGTTTTACTTGGGAGAGTAACGGCAGACAGTAGTGTAAAATGGCGAGCAATTCACGACTGAGCAGCCCAAGTACTGCGTTGCAGCCCATGCCATCTGAAAAGCGTTTTATTTGAAGATGGATGATTACTTTTGAGTGTAGGTCTACCTGTGTAAATGTAATGATTGCAGTTCCAACATGGGTTTCCCGAAATTTAGCGGCTGACCCAGGACTAGGGTAGACTTGGACTACTTTCCACCATGAATCAACAGCCTAAATGTACAATGAAGCCTTATGCCCAATAAAAAATTTTGTTTTTAACAACCTTGCTTGCTGCCTCTTCAAACGACGTGACTCCTGTCTCTATCATTTGATACATATTTTCACCCTGTTCAACTCTAGTATCTTCTGTCGAACCAATCTTAGGACACTGGCTAGCAAATTTGATCGCCGAAAACTCCAGCTCACAGTCATACTTCTACAATGCACTTGATACGGAAAGCATAACGGGATTACATCTCACCAATTTACGCATATTTGCTGCCGCTGGTAAGTTCGCACCAGTGTTTTTAGTTACGTTTCCAAGTGCAAGTGAGCTCCTGAAAAGTTTTTCATGATGAAATTGCACTGATATAGGTCTGAAATTTACCTGCGGCTATTGTGCATATCCAGAATTCTCAGTCTCAGTTTATCTGTCATGTAATAGTTCTCGGGGCAGATGGTGTCTTCTGAAAGGATACATGCCATAATTTGACAAAATTTTTCAAAATTCTCTATTGATATTCCCTTTCTTGTTACACAGGAGGACCAAAGAAATGTCCTTACAATTTGATCTTAATTACTCTTACAACTCATCGTGGCCACTCTCAAAGTACCGTTCTGTTCTGCAGTGTTGGCTTGGACTTAGATTCACATTATGAAGCACATCAAAATTCGCTTTGATACTGTAAGACTATGGTAGAAACTTGCGATATGGAAGCCACTGTATTGGCCTTGAGGAGAAATTTCCCAAAAGAATCTGGAATTTTTAACAGAGCTTTCACGCATGTTTATTTTGCTTTACGACATTTTACGAGTATTCAAAGCTTTTTGAATGGTGTGATCAAATTGTGGGAGAAGATGGAAAAAAGATTAGCAATGTATTTGCATGACTTACAAATGAAGCATTATGGTGACTGCGAATTTACTGAAATTTGCGATTCGATTAGCAATGCAAGAGTTTTTCGGTTTTTGGTAGGCAAAATATACTCCTTAATGACTCAAAAAACCCTCTTAAAAATCTTCCCGTAACTCCACAGTAACGATAGAGTAATCCCTTTTATAATTTGTATTTAAGTGATAAGTCTTTAGAATTTACCCCAGTAAAGGCGGAAGACGATAAAGCTAGGAAGTTTTCAATGATCAAACAGTAGGGTGGTTTTTTTGGGACATACTGTAGACGCAGCATATGAAAGAGCTTGTATAAGAAAATCCCGCAAGAGAACCAACGTTAGTGCAAGCTCGCTAGGGCTGCACTCATTGTACCTCACGCTCTCAATTTATAAGGTGAATGAGGTGCGATCATTCACTCTCAATTTGAGAAAACTGGGTGACATCTTTATTGATTGATTTTTCGCTAAATTTCTACTATGACTCACAAGCAGAGGTGCGATAGGTGGAGCCGGGCCCCCCAAAAGTGAAGGTGGTTCCAGCTACCACTGACCGGCCAAAAGTGAAGGTGGTAGTGCCGGACACTCACCTCCCAAAAACGTCGACGGGAGGGGGGGGGGGGGTAACGTCGACTGAGCCTATCCTTCCAGGTCGTTGCCGCCAGTGCGCGGAATATAAGCAAAACAAACGCAAAAAAGATCATTGAAGGCATATTTTTAGGAACACGGCAGCATATTTATTTAAAACGTGTTTAGTAAATGGTGTATTTGGAAGTAAAAGATAGCGGGACTGTACGGATTTTATTAAGTAAATTTTGTCATAACGTACTACAAACAAAGTATTTCGATCCAGGGAATCACCGCCGAGAACCAGAATTTTGAATAATAAAATAACGATAAATTATGCGAAATTTCCATTTTCATAAATCTTGCGGTTGAAGATGTCAGCAATTGCTACTTCATAGGTTTTGAAGGGCAAATGTTGTTCTACCAGACAGTGAAAGAATTAGGTCGATCTGAGCAGTGGCCGCCGAGAACGAGAATTTTGAAAATTAAGCGATTTTAGGTTACTTAGTGACAGCTGACGTTTAGACTCCTATAAATCTGGAATGTGAAGGAGTGCAATGCTGAGACTTCATAGGTTTTGTAGAGTAAGGATTGCTGTATCGGACCATGTCTTAGCCGTAACGATCCAATGAGATATCGCCGAGATTCAGGCTCTTGAAAAAACAAGTGAAAAACCGCTTTTTGAAATTCAACAGCGCATAACTTCTCCAGAACTGCATGAATCATGTTGCGACTTCAAAGGTTGGATTCTCCTCATCAAGAGCTTTCAGATGATATATGATATGTGGGGGTTTTGCGCCTCTCACAGCATATGCCCGGGGGTGGAGACTTTTCACCCCAAAGTCTCCACTGGCGGTCTCCGGCCAGTACATTAAATGGGCGAGGTGGAGACTTTGGGGTGAAAAGTCTCCACCCTGGGTTAGAGCCGCAAAAATCATTGAATCCCCCACATATTATATATCATCTGAAAGCTCTTGATGAGGAGAATCCAACCTATGAAGTCGCAACATGAATGCAGTTCTGGAGAAGTTATGCGCTGTTGAATTTCAAAAAGCGGTTTTTCACTTGTTTTTTCAAGAGCCTGAATCTCGGCGATATCTCATTGGATCGTTACGGCTAAGACATGGTCCGATACAGCAATCCTTACTCTACAAAACCTATGAAGTCACAGCATTGCACTCCTTCACATTCCAGATTTATAGGAGTCTAAACGTCAGCTGTCACTAAGTAACCTAAAATCGCTTAATTTTTCAAAACTCTCGTTCTCGGCGGCCACTGCTCAGATCGACCTAATTCTTTCACTGTCTGGTAGAACAACATTTGCCCTTCAAAACCTATGAAGTCGCAATTGCTGACATCTTCAACCAGCAGATTTATAACAATGGAATCATCGCATGATTTTTCATTATTTTATCATTCGAAATTCTGGTTCTCGGCGGTTATTTCCTGGATTAACTTACTACATAGATATATGCTCCCAATACTTTCTTTTACCTTCCTTTTGCTTATTTTCCTTCTTTTGAGCTTCAATAAAAATTTTTTTTCAAACCCAAAAGTGAAGGTGGTCACCCCGTACCAGCTCAAAAGTGAAGGTAGGCGGAGACTCGGCTCCGACTATCGCACCTCTGCTCACAACGCTAACTACCCAAGGTAGTATGAAGTTTTATCGATTTTGACAGCTGTCAAATATTAATAAAAGATTCAATCGTATTATCATACAATTCTTTCTCTTGCCGCACCTTCTCATTTTTTCATCGTTATCTTACCTAGAGGACATTAGAGAGCGCTTTTGATGAAAGATTACTCAATCGAAGTAGCCATCAAAAGTGCCTTCAGCATTTACAAAGAGTTGTTTTGGAACAAATAACTCCTTCTTTGCGGAGCTGGAAAGCGGTTTCTTTCACTCTTAGTGTGACGCCTTTGATCCGAAAGGAATTAGAATTGCCGTTAAACAACACAAAACTGCCAGTATCACTTGAATTAGTTAGCGCTAAGTGTCAGTTTCTCACAGATGACCCGAAAAAACTTGATTTTTTGTAGCCGTCAAAGATTTTGCATTCTTCTTTCAAGAAAATCTCAGATTTTTTTGAGGCAAAATGATGCTAAGAAACTCAATGTTGATCACTTTTGTGGATTATCGAAATTTTATAGCACCTGATAGCACTTTCAGCCTCATTAAATAAAAATGAAAGACTCTGTAGGATGAAAAAGCAAAATTGTTTTAGGGCAACAAAGGAATTTCTTCTGTTGCGGAAAACTGTTACATTCCTCACTAGACCACTGTGATACTTCCATGCGTTTTCTAAATATGGCAATTTCCAGCTCCAAAAAATAAGTCATGACTTGTTGTGAACAACGTTACTCAGAGTTGAAGGCACATTCGAGGCCAACCATCCCGCCTCCCGCATATATATCACAGTACAATTTGCCACTTCAACTCTTCCACTTTTTGCAAAATGCCTTGAAAAACAGCAGTTAAGTTTTACCTCAAACACGATCAATTTATCAAAATAAAGTGTAGCCTTCAGAAAGACAGGTACCGGGACGGATAGATAAAGTATGATCGGCTCCCACATTCGAGTATAGGGGTTGCGGGCTTCTTTAACATGAATAACTTTGCTGAACCTTTGTGCTACAGTGTTGTTTTTCGCATTCTTTCACGTCAGAAACCGTCACGCTTCAAGCGGGTAAGTCCCCACTCCTACACGAATCTGGCAGCCGAAAATATTTATATGCTGGTGTAGCTTAGTTTATTTGGCACAAAAATTTACGGTCTCTCAATTTGTTTCTATGGCATTATAGAATACTACATGAATAGTATATAGCTATAATATATATTCGTGGACAAATTGGGCTTAAAATGGATCGATTTAAAAGCCAAAATACCTAACTCCTTTTCTACTTCAAATCTTTCATGATTTTTCAAAGGTATTATGCTACTAGGACGAAGGTGATTCTTATTACGGAAGCGATTGTGAATAAAGGCAATCTATCTGTCTACTCTTCATTTCTAAAGTAAGTCGTCTAAACACTTACCGTAAGTGTGGTACTCACCTGTTGTAGAGCTAGGTAACACAGCATTTGGCGAAGGCTGTATAGCCGGGGTCGTAGTGGTTGTAGTAGGTGTTGTGGTTGTTGTGGTTATTGTGGTAGTGGTTTCGCATAACTTAGTATCAGGGTTGCACCAGGAGTCAGTTAAGCAGACACAATCAGCTTCATCTTGTTTTATTTCGTATATGTCATAGTCAGGAGATTCCAGTCTAAAAACATATCGTCAAAGCTCGTCCTGGTCTCTCAATTACTGAGTAAATTACACACGATTTCGTCTACTTTCTTTCACATCAGTAGACCAGAGCCAATTGTTTGAATAGGTGGCTAAAGATAGGCTAGATCATGGAGCCTAATGAAAAATGTCAAAGGCTATTGCTAGCTTAGTAGAATAGAGAAATTTGCTGATGTGAAGAAGTTACAAGAACTGAGGAGATACAAGGAATAGGTTCTCGCTCATCCAATAAACAGTGACGAAAAATAAGCACAAAAAAGGATATGTATGCAGTGACATTCTTGTATACGTAGCTTGTTTTCTGAACTTACGTATACAAGAAGTTTCTGAAGTATCAAGGAAACATGATTTACCTGTGGTCCGTTAGACATAGCACTGTGGCGTAGTAGTCGTAGGTGTCAGCTTTCTCGCCTTCATAATCGCACTTGTTGACTGCGCAACCCACTTTCGTAGCTGCCGCTGCTATTAGCTTTAATGAAAGTACTTTTACAACATTTATAGCTAAATATCTGTACATAAGTGATAAACAACGTTTTTTGTTTTCACATGAAGTCACCAATTATGGCATTCACCCGTTTCAAATCTACGTTGAAATCATTTGCTTTTGATACTACAGCGTCGTTTCTTCATGTATCGAATTTTGATATTCAGAAAAAAAACAATAATTCTAGATAATCATTCAATCTCCAATCAGTCACTGAAAAGGCAGCGAAGTCTCCTCAGAGCGTTTGCACCGCAGTACGATGTCTAATAGAAGACAGTGAAGCAGAAGGGAGGCGAGGATTTGGGTAAGAAAAGAGAAAGTAAAAAGGAGAAATAATGTTTGTAGCCATAATGCGAAAATGGTTCATTTAATATTTTCCAAATGAAATGTGCGAATCAGAGTAAGTAACTCACTGTCGCTTGAAATTGATCCAGTTGGGTTACGAGACCCGAGTAAAATTAGGCAACTGAATATTTAGATGTAAAAAGTAATGAGGAGCTTACGTTAGCGAATGATGGATCCACAGAAGTTGACTCAAGGAGTGGTTCACCAGGCAATCTAGCCACGGTTTCGTCGAGGTCGGTGGTAATATAACCCTTATAATTGAGCAACTCATCAACCATGTTCGTGATTGGTAGTAACTTCTCATCGCCAATTCGGTGCAATGACCTAGAATTGGATTCATTAATGTCCTTGCCATTTTCTTTCCCAGTTGCAAGTACGGAAATGCGTTAGTTTAAGCTGCCGTAATTCCGAATGCCTTAGTAAATCGCAGAAAATGTTAAGCAACAAGAAACCTACGACTCGTGGCTCCAGCCATAGCCGGTAACGTTTTTTTTGATATCTTTACGAACTTGGCATTTGTCAATATACGTCGCAGCCTCCGACTGGAGTTCGCAATCCCAGACCTATCTCAAATGTCAATTATCTAAATTAAAATGAAAAACGCTGGTCTTTCACTACTACTCAGGGTACTTCCCGATCCGTTTTCAGTAATATTAAACTTTTACGAACTCTCAGCTTCTTTGTCAACTGACCAATTTATTCATGTTCTTAGCCGCAGGGAATGTACCGCCTGTATATTCATCTAACAGGTCTCCCTTTGCTACAGCTGCACGGACTTCATTTATGCTATCCTCTAATTTTTGAGCATCTTGAATTGCACCATCACAGATTCCCTCTGGAAGTAGTCCATCAGAAGTCACGAGGAAGAAGAGAGAAGTTAGAAAAAAGCTTTAAAGAGACATACCCACACTGGACGCAGCCAACATCGAAAGTATCTGAAAGAAACTTCAATGAGTAGATTTTAAGGATATGCATTTACATGTACCACAATCACTGCCGATCGCGTCATCGTGAATATGATGTTCCTACCAATTACGGCTGCCTTTTATGCGCACGATGGATTGTCGTTGGATTCAGCAAATATCAGATAAATTGGTATTATCTAAACTAGTTAGAAGGATTAGATTAATCATGAAATTGCTCCGCCGATCCAAGCGAGCAGTAAATTCCCATCGAAATTTGAACGAGAAAAGAAGGTCAGCTTCAATTTTTTTTCTTAAACGAAAGTATGATATAAACTCACTCGAAGTGATCCTTGACAGTTTGATTTTGCAATTCTATTCGAACTCTGTTTCAGTACAATACTTTAAGGTCTACTGCTTAGGCATGCTCTTGATATTGGGATGTTTTAAAAGTTTTACCGTTTTTTGTACCTCTTTTTACACTGCCGATTTCAGAGAATGTAATGTTTATTTGTACAGTAACTACATGTCCAAAAGTCCTTTTTCTCTAGTTTTTCAAGCATACTATCGTTTTCACAGGGCCTTGTTTCTGTGGTTTCGTAACTGAAAGCACGGCAAGCCAAATGTGTAAACATTCGTTTTTGCTCTAATGTCGTGAAAAAACCAAAATTTTTTTCCTTTATTGTATGTAATTTTTATTGAGAGCCTGTGCTAGACAATGTCTTGGGATATTTTGTAGATTTTTGAAGCTACAATTTTTAGCACTAACATGGCCTGTCGCTGTGGTCCTTTTAAGTGGGCTAAGGTTGCAAGAAGAGCGTAAAAGTTGCCATCCGCTGCTGCTATGCATTAATTTTAGGCAATCGCTCGGAATCTCTTCTGGGAAATTCAAAATTGTTGGGGTTTTGCGCAGAAACTGTAAACTATTAAAAAGGCGGGGTATGGCGACCCGATTTCAGATGAAGTCACAATAGCGTTGAGGCAGTAAGATTTCGCTGAGCTAAAAAAGTGTTCAGCGGAGCTTCCGCAAAACTGCTGAAATTCAAAAAATGTAAGTGCAACTTCTAAGAAAATACACAGTCAAGTAAAAGGCTCAGGAACTCTTAGCAAAAAGATATTTTTGCGGAATACCTGTTTAATAAAATTTTTTTTACTGATCTAGCAAAAAATCCATCTTTGGAAGCATTGTTTTGAGAAAACCCTGACTTTTGCCTTTAATGTAAAACACTGAGCGAATTGGCTCTCTCTCAGGAAAAGAACGCTCGCGGGCTTTTAGCAAAGAGACATTCCTAAATACACTTACTCTGTCAAATCCACTTTTGAAACTATTCTCACCAAAATACTTGTGTTTCGAGGAAAAACTGCACATCGGTAAAATTTCATTTAGAAATAGTAATGTTTAGGATAATGAGGATAATCTTGCAGGATTACTTACTTTTGCGTCTAGAAAGTAAATCAGTGGATGGGTGGTCTTGCTGCTAATTTAATCAAACTAGTTGAGAGTTTCCACGCACGTGTGCTGCTATGAAAAAAAGCAATGTGCAAACCATGTCTCTTGGAAGAAGAAATGCAACAATTTCATGGCGAAGGGCCTATGGGACCAGTAAAGTTTTACCCAGTTTCATTCCGCTACATCAAAGATAATATCTTGTTGGTCTCTGATGAAGGAAACAACAGTGTCTTGGGAGTGTTCAGTTCGGTTATAGATAGTTTACGTACAGAAGCTATGCAGTTGCCCCAATAGCTCTATTCATGCGTCACTTAGAGCTTATCGAAAATACTATAAGTTTGAAAATTGCAAAACATGACCATGGCAGAAAGTCGTATCCTTTGGTCATTTTTGAGAGGTCAGATTGGCATGAGGAAACAACCATTTAATAGAGGATAGAATCCTGCAACGAACACGGACGAACTTTCAATGGAACAATATTTCTTGCAAATACATGTTTCTGTTAAAAGCCCTCAAGCTTTGTGGGGCTAAGCGCGCTCATTGTTTTTCTGCTGAAATCAAGGCTTTCTCACTGTCTTTTTTAAAAGGCAGAAAACGGATTTTCTATAGTACATGCTCATGAAATTGGATTTTTTGCCGAAAGAACTGTGTAGAAAATAAAGCAATTTCTTGCAAAAGTGTCCTTGTGTAAAATGTTATCAAAAAGCCCTAAACGTTTTAATCTCGGAAGACTAAGGCTCGTTGTATGTCGTTCATAAGAAAGACCGAAGAGAGCGCAGAATAGGAAAATTAGGCGGAATGATTAGCAACCGTGTTAAATGTGTTTCAGTGTGTTTCATTCTCAAAGAAAATGAGTGCGCATCTATCAGTGGCAGTTGCGGGGGGGGGGGGGGGGAGGGAGGAGAGGCTGTCCTCACTGGTATCTACCACTTTCATGACATATAGTTATTGCTAATCACATCCAGAGTAGAAATTTGTTCGGACGATCCATAGTTGCTAAAGAAAGCGTAAGACAGCAATTTGGCAGTTTTTAGTGAAACGCTGCAAAGTAACCAAAAAAGAAATGCGAAAAACTGAAATATATTTTATTGCTTGCTTCGAAATTGCAAAGTTTTCGCATACCTTAGAGTAAGCAATAAAATTCATTTACAAAAGTGCAAAAAAATCAGATTCGTCATTTACTGTACTGTGCTCAAGCATGTGATTTAAGAAAACCCTTTTTTGTCCCTAAAAAAATGAGCCTCGCGAGAGGAGGGAATATCAGTGGCTTCAAAAAATACCCTTTCAAAGAACACTTCTGTTTTATAAGAGAACTTTTTGGAGAAAGATTTTCCTTTATGAGAATGTACTCTTAAAAACCCTACTTTTTGCACCCAAACAGAAAAACAGTAAGCATGTTTTGCCCTCGCGAGAGGAAAAACGGTCGAAGCTCAGAAGAGAAGCCGTATCGACGAATACATTCTCAAAAACGCTATTGCCAGATACGACTGGAAGGAATTCCATGATTCAACGGAAAATCTAGGAAAGCTGATCGAAGACGCAGCTGTGCTGCGCAGGTAACTCTCGCCGCGGAAAGAGGTAGTGGACGATTGACGAACAACACCGAGAAATTTCTACAGAAAAGAAGCCTGCACGCAGATCCAAGTACACCTCACTTGGAGCATGTGCTGTTCAACAACAATTGCAGAAAAGCCGTGCAAGAAAATTCTGAAACGATATCGACAGAGAAGTTACTCGCAGCAGAACAGAACAGGAAAAGTCTGGAAAAATGCCGAAGAAATCTACACAAACACGAACCACTGATACGAGCTCTATTACTCAGATAATTTCCGGGGCAGGCGGCTATGCTATTTATGGGCACCGGTCGCGGGCACCGGTCGCTGATTTCTTGCGATCCGCTTGCAGATATTTGGAAGAATGTTGGCGAAGATTTGGACGAATGCTCAGAGAACAATTGCGGCTTTTTCATCGATTAGTTGCGGCGCAATGGCCGCATTCGTGAGGAATTTCTGCGAGAATATGCAAAATTGTTGGGGGCCGCACGGCCTTTTGTGAGGAACTACACAGCCCCAAGGTACCTTCCATTGGAAAAAAAGTACTTCAAACTTGGGTAATCAAACCATCTGACCAGACGTCATCTCTGTCATATAGAGTGCTACCTTTGGGTTGTTTCATATTGCAGTCACTGCAGCAATAACCGTCGATCAATCGATATCTTTTGCCCGCCCCCGTATGACTGCAGTGGCTGCAGCGACTGCAGTATAAAACAACTTTTGCTCGGCGTACGCCCAAGCTGCGTAAAAAGAGTCCGAATGCCTGCTGAAAGTTTGGCCAGCGCTCGCTGAAAGAGATGATTTGACGAGCGCCTGCAGAAAACTCTGTATTCTGCCCCGCTGGCAGGACATCAGACAGTAAAGGAAGTGCCGCCCGCTGAAGGTTTGGCCACGCCCCAAAATTCTGCTGACCGCCTGCAGAAAAACGCGAGTTTGCGGACCGCCTGCCCCCAGCGATTGTCTGAGTGCCTCCAACGATTATCTGAGTAAGGCCCGTATGCACGTACATCCCGTATGCACGATAGGGAAGGGAGTGGATCTGAGAGGGAATGCGTCCTATCTCGCTAGTCTACGTATCTTTCTTCTTCCTTTTCTATCGTGCTTATGAAGGTTCTCGTACCCTTATACCTGCGCATAATGAATGCCAGGTTACTGGCGTGATTAAATGTATTTTCACTGTCTTGTGTGATTTTTAGGGAGGTCCCTATCCCCAGGGATCCCCAAGGGATCACCTCTTAGGGCCGCATGCACTAATATCCCCGCGGGGAGGGGATCGCAGCTTCAGAAGAAAGCTTTATGTCCTGAAGCTCCGGATATCTGGATTTCACGCTGTCTACCTATCCGTAAGTATTCCTACTACCCTTCACTATGAACATGTTGAACAGGAGCGAGAAGCTGTACAAACCGCATTTTCCAGCTTTTGTATGATCCCTGATGATCCCCGGCGCTTTTCTTTAAAGTCATTTTTCTTTCTCCGAAGTTAACGAAAATCCTCCAAAGTTGTACTGAACATCTAACACAATACTGCTAAGCATGTTGTTGATGAGAACAAATGAGTTTTTATAGAGTCGAATTTTTCGCTAAGCCTCAAATTTCGACCTGTGGATCATCGCAAATTTCATGACTTCAAAACATCATTTGTTCTTAGCAGCAACATGTTAAGCACTGTCGGGTTAGACAATCTGCACAACTCTGGAGATTCTTCGTTAACTTCGGAGAAAGAAAAATGACTTTGAAGAAAAGCGCCAGGGATCATCAGGGATCATACAAAAGCTGGAAAATGCTGTTTGTACAGCTTTTCGCTCCTCTTCAACATGTTCATATTTAAAGGTAGTAGGAATATTTACGGATAGGTACACAACGTGAAATCCAGGTATCTGGAGTTTCGAAATATAAAGCTTTCTTTTAAGCTGCGATCCCCTCCCCGCGGGGATGTTAGTGCATGCGGCCCTTAATTTCAATGCCATTTATCTCCCTAGAAACTCAATGAAACGCTGTAAAATTGTTTTGTGGATATACCACGGCGCTGCTAAACATGATTACAGTAGAAATAAGTGAAATCACAGGATATCGAAATCTTCGGTAATCTAGCTCGTGAGCCAGGGGAGGCGTGCAAGTGTTACCCAGGCAGCCGCCTGGTGCCGCAGCCAGCCGCCAGAGCTGGCGCCAGCGTCGCGGCTGAGCTACCGTAAGCGCGCT